GATGAAAAGAGTAAGACAAGCCCTGAGAGCAGCCATCGCCCAGCAGTCCTACAGAGAACCTATCAGTATGAACAAAATGTTTCACTGCATAATACTTAATCACAGCTTACTTTTTTACAATACACGTAATAAACAACGTGTGTAATCACATCTTACTTTTTTACAATACACGTAATAAACGTGTGTAATCAGCAGAGTTTGACACAAAAAAAAAACAACTGCCGTCTGTACAGTTTTCTAAACATGAAAGCTCGAGAGGATATAGAAAACAGCTGCTGGAGGAGCAAATTTCCCTACCTTGTTTTAGCAGCAGTGGATGTTTCTGTGGCCTAAAAGATCCAGGTGTGCGAGCTTTCTTTTGCCCTCCAGTTGCAGTTCTACATTTCACTTCCTGCCAGCATGAATGGGAGGAGCATAAAATGTGGAGTGTTACATAATGTCCACATGGCTGTGCTTTAGAGCAGCTGCAGTGGGAGACATGATCCTGTTACTGCTATAAATACCTACAGTGTTAAAGGGCCAGTGAGCTATTTCAGGGTACTCCGTGTGTGTGTGCACGCCATCTTCACTACTGCTGTTTGTATGTCTTCTTGAAATCAGAGCATTTGATCTCAGGTCTTGTTTTGGTCATCAGGGCTTCAAAGATAACTAAGAGATATGACCCCAGCATTAAATGCACATATAAGACTGGTTTGTTGAACTGAGAAATTATAGGAAGTGGCCTATATGTTGATCATTTTAGGCAGCAGGAGCAGACAGCATTTTGTTTTCAATTGATATTAACCTCTAGAGTCCTGAGCTTTGGAAACCCAAGCTGTGCGGTCCTCATATGAGGACGCAGGGACTCTAGAGGTTATAGTTTATATTTAATTAGCATATACAGGTCTGACAATATTACTAGAAATGTATATTGCATTGTATGCTAAATATGTCTATACAGAGAAATCAAAATCAGAGTTTTCAGTGAGATCTAAAGGAATTCCTACTTTTATACCACTTCTGTATGCATATTTTTAAAATATCTTAAGATTAAATCAAAAAGCAAAATCATTTTACTTTCAGTTTAGATACACATTGATATGATTATTCTATATGTTTTACTCTGAATAAATATAAAATTTCCTAATTCATACTGATATTTTTAAGCAAACAGTAGAATGATTTTTAATCCATATAATTTGTGTCATAAAGCCATCAGTCACACAAACGTAATGCAGTAGGCCTTGCTGTTAAATTTCTGTGTCACAAGTACAATACAACAAGAGAAAGCTTCCTCATTGTCCTGTCTCATTTCTGATTTCTCTGTCTGTCTCAGTAGAAATTATATCATGATAGTAAACAGGAAGTCCTGTACCTTCATGAATACATTAAAAATAACCAGACATAAAACTGTTAAAAACACATTATTCATT